CATGAAACAATATTAAAAAAGCTCAACTATAGTTCCCATTCTGTAATTGTATTTTAATCCTTACTAAACAAATAAAACGTCAAATAAACAGCAGGATCAATGAACATTTTGTAGTTTATTGAATAATTATTAAGTGACCTAACTCCCAATTTAAATAATTATATTAAAATATATATACAATTTTTAATACTTTCTTAATATTATCTATTAACCCCCCCCTCACCCCGGTATGTGAGTCATTTTGTAGAATATAGCTTCATTTATTCTGTTCGTTTGTGAACTGTTTTAAATTTTAGATCTTTTATTGTATTTTGTTTATTTGAAAAATTATTTTATAATATGTTGTGTCTTGTTTTGTTTTCATCTGTTGTGCTTCCTCACTACCAAAGGTATGTAAGCTTTGTATTCATGTGGTAGGTTAAAAAAATGTTTGGGCTCAGAATCGATAATTATCACTTGTGTTTTACATTCCAAACTTCAAGGATCAAATTAGTAAAATAATGATGCTGTATTAACATTTTTAAATTCTGTACAGTACTTCCGGTTGCAAATGTCTTTTCTTAGATAAGCCAACATTTTAGAAATGGCTCGTTTAATTTTACTCAAAGTTGGTAGGAAGGTGAGAATTAGTAAAATAGTGATATTGTATTAATTTTATTAAATTCAACCACTTACTTTCTCTTTCACATGCAATAACATATTTTCTTTGATACACTGATATTGCAAAAACTGCACCTTCGATTTGGCTCAAATTTGGAGGGAAGTTAGGATTGATAAATAAATTATAAGGTAGGAATCAATTTCATCAAATTCTATCCAATACTATAAAGAAAATACTCCCACTTTCGGATCACTGGTATTACTTTTCGAAAATGGTTTCTCCCTTATATTTCATTCTCAAACAAAAAATAATTGACATTGAGATATAGGTAAGTGTGGAACCAATGAAAATAGTGAGGAAGCTATACTGTCCTCCCTCACTTGGCAGACTTTTTGTTTAGCGTTTCCTGTTTTTTTATTTCCATAATCTTCCTTATTGATTTCTCGTTACTGAAGGTAGGGAAGCTTTATATTCGTGCGGGAGGTTAAAAATATTTTGAGCTCAGAATCAAAAATTTCCATTCACATTTTATGTTTCAGACATGAAGGATCAAATTTGGTTTGGTGTCTGACAGATGTGGTCAAATTGATGTGACAGGCATATCACCTACTACCATTTATCCAATTTTCATGAAAATTTCAGGGATTGTGTGGATTGTTGCTTCGATGGTCCCATATCAATTTCATTAAATTCCATGCAGTACTTTCGCTTGCGCATGCTCAAATTTTCTTTGATACGTCAATATTTCAAAAGCGGCTCATTTGATTTTGCTCAAAGTTAAAAGAAAGGTCAGTTTTGGTAAAATGATAATGCTATATCGATTTTATTGAATTCCATACTGCACTTCTGTTTGCAAATGTAGTTTCTTAGATATGCCAATATTTTAGAAACGGTTGGTTTGATGTGGATCAATATTGAAATAAAGGTGGGCTTTGGTAAAATAATGATGCTGTATCGATTTTATTGAATTCCAAAAATCGCACATTTGATTTGCCCCAAATTTAAAGAGAAGTTAGGAATTGATAATTTAATTTATTCACTAATGAAAAATTATTTACCTTGAGATAATGTTAGGTACGGAACCAGTGAAAATGGTGAGGCAACTATACTGTTCTCACTTGGCAGAAATTTTTTAGAATTTTATTTTAAATCTGACTAGACCTTAATTTATTTATTATTGATGATTGATTATTGCAATATATCCCAAAACATCAATATGCAGGGTGTACCTTAAGTAGAGAGAAATTTTTATAGGAGTAATGGTAGACCTCAAGAGCTACAAAAAAGTTCATATAAACAATGGGCTAATTTTCAGCAGAAAAGTAGAAATCCCAGATCATGGAAAAATAAGAAATAAAACCTTTACAACAATTATTTGTAGTAATTTTTGCTGAAGACAGGGGTACTTTTAGGTGACAGTATAAAAAATCACTTAATTTTTACATAATTGTTATCAATCTCAAGTTTTTCTCTAATAACCTCAACCAATAAGGAGTTAAAGCTTATTAAATGTAAAAGTTTCCTTAAAAATGGGGTATCTGTAGTACAGTTGGATGACAATTAAAAGAAATCGTGAATAATTTATAATTTTTCTAAAAACAGAACTTAGCTTAGTTTAGCCACTCAGAAATTGGCCCATTGTTTATATGAACTTCTTTGTAGCTCTTGAGGTCTGCTATTATTCCTATAAAAATTTCCCTCTACTTTTGGACACCCTGCATAATGCTATATGACAAATTAAGTAAATATATAAATCATTGCTCTAACCCATGCCTGCTATCACTGAATTTACTTTTACCTATTATTAATATTAGATTACCAGTTAACTTATGTTTTGTAGAGGGATCATGTTTCATCTGGTTTTATCACCTAAGTTGTCATATATACCTGGGTTTGTAATAGAATCTATTAAAATTGTGTAATCCACAATTCTACTCTGGGGATTTGGTCGCCTAAGAGGATCTCCTACGAAGAGCTCTAGAGTACTACTGAACAACTTCCTATCCATCTCAAAATAAAGAAAAAGAAATGGGATTGGATTGGGCACACTTTAAGAAAGGCTGATAGTCCGATTGAAAAAGAAACTCATCAATAGAATCCTCAAGGAACAAGAAGAAGATGAAGACCAAGAGAAACATGGCAGAGATCTGTGCATAAAGAACTGAGCCGAGATGGCAAGACTTGGCCAGAACCTAAAATGATTGCTGCAAAAAGAGAAGAATGAAATGTACTTGTAGATGCTGTATACTCCACCAAGAGTCAATAGTTGTAATAAAAATCTATAGTTCTACTTACTGATTTCATTCTAGTAAGGTTCATAACAGGGAGTTATGGGAGGCAAAGAATGTGTTATTTGCTTTGAATCATCTGATTTCATTTGGTCTCTTACATGCGTAGTGTTTCTCTGGAGGAATCCCTTCTGTTTTTAACTGCACCATCTTTTGGCACATCAGAGTATGTATTGAATTTTCCCCTCTGGTGCAAAAATATTAATTCTTTGTGTGGGTTGAGAGATTCATGCTTAATTGGATCATTATTTGTTAACAAATTTAAGTTTGCCTTGGACACCTCCACTTGGATTTTTTTCAATTAACCTAGACAGATACATGTACTTATTTATTATGTTTCTGCATGAACATAGGCTTCGTGGAAATTATGTTTAATTTATTATTAGATGCGTGATGATTAGGAATGAGAGATTTACCTCTAATTGTGCATAGAACAGTGATCATAAAAAATAGACATGTTCCTTCCATGGGACATCATGCAGTCAGTTATCGAACCTCAGTTACTTTTCCATATTTTATTTTATTAATTAAATTTTGTTCAAAGTAATTAGTAGCATTAAAATATATTTTATTTTTTTTTGTAAAAAATTTACTTTAAAAAATTTTAAGTGGATCATTTTATTAATATTATTTTGCTTATAATGTTCCTTGAAATTATTTACCTGAAGTAACATTGTAAATGATGAGATATGATAGAAAGGCAGGAAAGTTTTGTTAAAAGTGTTGAGTTGAAAAGTGTTTTTGTTTGGTAGTACAAAATAAAAATTGTTTTTATGATTTTCATTATTGTAAATTAAAAATATATAATACACAAAATTTAGAAAATTTTGTATTTATTCATTATTTGTATCTTTAATTTATAAATATTTCATCTGTTGCCTTCCAAAACAAAAATAAATGTAGATGTTCTTTGTGTGGTACACCATGCATTACAAGGCCAATTTTAATTCATGCGAAATTGTAACCCTAATATATGGTGTCCCTCTCAAGAAACATTTAAAGTTTTCATATTTTCTGAGAATCTAAATCACTTACAGTTTTTAATCTATCTGTCTGTTGTTATATATCCTTTTTAGTATTCAGAGGTTTTTTTTTTTTTTTTTTTGTGTAAATTAAAAAAAATATACTTCCAAGAATTGTTAATAATAATAATAATGATAATATTCATAGAATTTGAGAATTGGTGCTAAACAAATTGTAATTTTTTAATATTTTCGTTATATCAATATTAATTAAGTATACTAAATCGAAACTCTTCAGAAATACTTTTCTATATTCCTGCAGTAGATCACTGCCGGAACACTCCAGGAATGCTAAAGCTCCATAACTTTTTTTTTTTGAGAATATGAAACTTTTCAGTTATCTTACCAACCCCATTAAATAGTCTTGAGTCGTGTTTTCTGTTTCCAATAATAACACTGTTGTAGATTAGATATTTATCTGATATAATGCTACTTACTGATTGACTGGATTTTGTTGTATTAAAGTATGCATTACATAATAATGATTGTGATATTGCCATTGTTGTACTCATACATCACAGCCCGGTTTTTCTTCTTCTTTTTTATTTCATACCGTTCCAACAATTTGAAAAATTAAATTTTTTTTATATTAAAATTAAATACCTAATGTTTAGTCTGAATACTTATATTTTTATTTGTGATTTTATCAATGTTTCAAATATTTAAGTTAGATGACGGATGTAATGTTTAGTATCTTCCTAATGTTGACTGAATTTCTTCTTTTTATTTCATTTTCAAATGTACTGTTACATTTAATAATACTCTATACATATATATCATGATTACTTCAAATCTATCCTTTCAGAAAACTTTGAAGTAAAATAATTTCAAATCTAACAAAATTTTCTTATTTCCTTTTGTTTTAGAGTATATGCAACTCATTCGTTTACACACATATGTACATTCATTAATTTGTCTTCCATAGATAAATAAATGCATAATCTGATGCAGAATTAGTTTTGCTTGGTTGTATTGATATATCTGCTTCTCTTTGAGAAATCCTTTTTTTTTTTTTTTTGTATTTGATGTAGTTCTTTAAAATCTTATTAAATTTTTTTTAAAACAGTTGATAGAATTTTTGTTTTCCAGAACGTTTAAGAGCCACAACATCTTCAAACAACTCTGGTGGGGTGAGTACTGCTTTCTTATTTCATTTTGCATGGTTTCCATCTAATTAAGCATGCCCTAATGGTACACTGCGGTTTTACTTCTCTCTGTTACAACATTTTTCATTAGATAAGATTGTCAGATTTATAAAAAATTATATTAGATAACAAATAACCAACTTTATGAGAAATTAATTTATTCTTTTTATTTCATGAAAAAAGAGTATTTCAAATTGATTTGTTATTAAAAATACAACTCTTGTTATCTAGAAATAATTTATATAAAACAAATTTTCATTGTAATAATAATTTTCATTTTATACAATTTTTATTTAAATAAAATTTTAATGACAATATTTGTTGGTGATAAATTTATTGAACCTTGACTGTTAGGTATATGATAATTTTTAAATACCATATAATCTCAGTAATCCAAACTAATTGATGGAAGGAGTGTTTTGTTTACTGAAAAGTTTAGATTACCAATGGTGTTTAGGCAAATTACATACTATGAAAGATTAAAATTCATTACATACATGCAACTTTATGAAGTAGATAAATACCTTTTACTCATTTGAAAACATTAAACTGCATAAAAATCAATTATTTTGAAATACCTTAGTTATGTTTTGACTTTTAGAGGAACTTCCTTATTGTTCTTCAATTAGAATTTGTAGTTAAAGGATTTGTTGACACGGTTTATAGGTTCTTTTTTGGTCAACGAATAAAGAGATTGAAATGAGAAACTTCATATTCATGTTTTACTGTTATCTGTTATAATAAAACAAGATGATGGATGCTCAGAAAATTATCACAAAAAAAGTGTATGAACTTGCATGCCAATGAGAAATTAAGTTTCCAGAAATTTGATTAGGCAGGTGGGCGTTTTTCATTAGCAATTGATGTATGCCCCTTTGTGTCACTTTTTTCCTTTTCTCTATAAAATAAAGGTTTTTATCCTTCCTTCCTTCCCTCAGGTTTTTTTTCTATTTTGGATTATTGGAGTGTTTAGATCACTGAGATTTTTCTGTTTTAGAAATGCACAGTTTATACCATAACAGTAACTTAAATGTTATTCATGAGTCATTTTAAGAAAACACTGAAGAGTATCCAATCGACTCTAATATCATTTGGACTTGTGTTATTAATTAATTATTTATCAAATTATGGATTTGAGAAGTGTTTTAATGTCTGTATCAACTAATTTACTTCTTTTTAGGGTACTTGTGAGCGACGCTGTGGCCTCTGTGGACTGCTATCTGCAGTTATCTTGTTATTTAAAGTGTTGTTGTTATTTACATTTCTTATTAATATATATATATATATATATATATATATATATATATATATATAAATAAGAAACAGGCAAAAAAGAGGCAACACCAAATGTATTTATATTTCTTATTATACGAGAGTCTAATTTCATATGAAGATAGGGATTATCAGTGCCTTATAACAATTATCAGTGTTCAGGTGATAAACATTTAATAATAAGAAATATAAATAACAACAACAACACTTTAAATAACAAGATAACTGCAGATAGCAGTCCATAGAGGCCGCGTCACAAGTACCCTTTTTAGTTTACATTATGTATTTTAAAGCTTATCTACTTTTAGTCTTATTATTTGGGATTACATTATTATTTTTGGATATTTGAAAATATTTAGTTATCCTTTGAGGACAGGATGGCCTATCTCATTGGGATTTGGGTCTTGGAATGCTCGTTTCTGAAGGTTGTGGATTCAATTCCCACCTGGTTCGGTTACTTTTTATTTCTCGGCGGCCCTAGGAAATAGATGAAGACATTCCCACTCTGATAAGTACGCGGCAGGAACCTCAAGGTAGCTGTCAGAGGTTGGCAAAATGGACCATGATAGGGTCCACTTGCCGGAGTAGTTCCTCCCACTAATAGCAGTAGCAGTACCTCCTCCTTTAAGCATTCATAAATCTTTTATTGCTTTTGCTAGTAATATTTCTGTTTAAAATATCCCCAAAAATGGCAAGGTATTCAATAATTCTTTCAAAAAATTTTTTTTTCACTTACAATAAAACTGTTGTTTATTTTTTACTTTTGGTTTGGGACTTAAAACTTTTTCATGCAAAAATGTTATTGATTTTTCAGTACTAACCTCTGATAATTGGAAATATATTTCAATTAGTATTTATTATGTTGGTAATTAATGCTTTTATTTTTATTTTTTTAATGTTTAGAAAGAAAGTTTAAACCAATCACCATTCATTACAACTCCCCATGGCAATCCAGGTTTTCATCCACAAAAGGTTGGAAAAGCCACTGCAGTAAGTAATTAAATTTCATGATCTATAATTGTTATTTTTAGTTATTTGCAATTTAAAGAATACAGATTGGTTAACATTATGCTGAGTATAACTGTTAATATCATATTAAGCAACTTAATGAACATTTATTAGAATGTCTGGTTTCTGTACTTCTCTTTTCTGGATTATATAACTTCTTTTTTTTACTTTGGTAATAACCAAACTTTTTAATTCCATAGAAATTTATATTGCTAATTTTATTATTACTAATATCATTTCATTGTTTTTATGTTTTTCATGTTCATTTAATTTTTTTTTTTCAAGGGTGAATCACGGACACCAAAGCCTCCAAAGCCACCTGAGAAACCTCTCATGCCATATATGAGATATTCTCGAAAAGTATGGGACCAGATAAAAGCACAAAATCCAGAATTAAAATTGTGGGAAATTGGTAAAATAATTGGCCAAATGTGGAGAGATTTACCTGATGAAGAAAAAACAGAATACGTTGAAGATTATGAAGCAGAAAAGGTATAGGATTTAATTAATTTCTTTCCAATTTACCATTTAAACTTTTATAATTTCATTTAACGCTCGGCTATCGTGAGGGGTTATGTTTAGAACTGGTATATACAGTGGATATTGTTTATAACGACCTTGAAGGGATCAAGGAAAACTTGTTCGTTACAGCCGATTGTCGCTGTAAACGTATAATTGTTATAATGACCACGGTCGCTATATCTATCCACCTGTAATAAACAGGAAGGAAAACTTGTTCGTTACAGCCGATTGTCGCTGTAAACGTATAATTGTTATAATGACCTCAGTCGCTATATCTATCCACCTGTAATAAACAAGCCTTGGTTGTTATATTGAAAGCAAACAAGGATAATATATAAAATTTAAGCAGAATTGGCACAAGACATTTGAAAAGGAAAACATACCAATATTATTTAGCATATGTAATATAAACTCCTATGGACATATGTATTTTTTTATAAAGTAATGAACTTCTTAACATTAATCCTATTTCTAGATCAATTTCCATTAGAGAACATTGTTTGCCCTTAAAATGGAAAATCTGATCAGGTGTTAATTTGTAAAAAAGTCCTGTTTTACCGCTTTCAGTATTTCAGCGTCATGATAATTCTTACGAACTATTGGCTGAACTGTCGAAAACCATTCGTAAATTAACTGAAAAGGAATGCTGGTAGCTTCACAGATACATTTTTAAAAATAATATGCTGGGAGCCGAATCTTTGTATCCATCCCCACGAAATACAAGTTCAAGATTGATAAAGAAGATTTTAAAAATTCATTAGTTGTTTTGAGTAAAATCGGTTCTGATATCGGAATATTGCACTTTCCGTAGGCCCTAAACTATTTGAGAAGAACTTGGTCTATTACGTCATAAGTAGATGGTTATTGTTTTTTAAATTAAAAGATTCAGCATGTTCTCAAATAGATTCAAGAATTTTCAAATTATTAAGACTTACATCAAATTCTTAAGCCAGGCTACTATTGGATTTTTCTCTCCATACTGTAGAATATGTGGACTTTTTCTTGCAAGAAAATTTTTTTTCTCTTCAACATTCTTATAATGGACGAGCAGTACTAAACAGAAGCAGAAATTAAATTGATCTTATAAATGTGATGTCTACATAGAGAATGAATGGAATGGAATATTAGATTACCCAGAAAAGTGGAAAAAAAATAGTTTTGGAGTTCTGATAGCCAACTGTCACTATAGCCAAATTAGTCGCTACAATGATGGTTGTTATATCCATCCAGAACAATGTTTCAAAAGCTTCTGAATTTGAACCTGGCATTTTCGTTGTTGAAGCCAATACTTTATTGTAGCCGATGTTGTTATTTACGATATCCACTGTATTAATATTATCTTATTGTAACAGCTTTATTTTTAGATTTGTATTTCTATATAGTATATGATATAATTATATTTTTTCAATAGATGTCCATATGGGTTGTGTGTGTATGCATGTATACGTTAATGCACATGTTTGTTTGAGTGTGTATGCTAGTATATTTTATCAAGCAAGAACCAAGAGCCATCTTATATAGATTATTTCAGAGTTGGAAACAAAGTTTACAGAAAAACAAATTATATCCTAATTAGTTGAAAGAATAGTTTAGAAATAAAGAAAGTTTGGCCATTTTCACAAACTGTGCTGTCTGATTGATTATAGCACTTTCAGTATATTTTTCTTATGAAACATATAATTACACAAATCCTGGATTGGCTTTAAGCTGGATTCAGACCATGAGAGTTTTCCTCACAAAGCAGTTTCTAAACCATTTCCTTCCCCCTCCCCTACAATTGATTTCCATTGGCTGTCCAACATTCATCCGCACACTAGTTAGTAATTTTTTAATTTATTTTTTCTGTTGCCTTTAAAGAGCTTTGGCCGCCTTCTCCATCTCTGCTTATGTTGGGCTACTACATCCAGTTTGCTGCATACAGATCTAAAGCAACTTTGTTGATAGGTAAACATTCTGCATCAAAAGAAACTCACACCAAATAGTTGCATTGATAATAAATCAAATAGAGTCAATTAGTTTGGTTTAATTATACAAAAATCATCCTCTTAAATGTTTCCTTATGAAGACATCCATTTTAACATCCAAGGAATCCATTTCAAGCAGTGATTTTAGTATCTTTAAATCTTCCATATTCGTTCTTGCAAAACTTTTTATGTTTCATCAATATTATCAGCTGCCATATCCTGAATCAGCATGTTGCCATACTTGAATCATTGATGTAAAAACTTACCTAACTATCAGCAACATTTATGTTGTTTCTCAACTTTTTTGTTACTGGGGACATGGTTATAATTATTAATACCCTATCATGGTGAGGAACAAGTATTCATAAATTAACTCTCCATGGCTGCCTCATGATAACTGGTTGTCCACCCTTTATTCACATTTTCTTGAAAATTGCGTTCTTGAATAATTTTATGCCTGATTCATGACAGAGATCCTCTCTATTAAAATATGCAAGGAAAACACTCACTGTTTAAATTCAGCTTTTAGAACCCTGATTGACTAGAATTATGCTAACATTGAATCCTCTTAAAATTACTGGTGGATTACAAGCTTTTTTAATTTTTTGTTTTTTTATGGCCTTGAGATTTTACGCAAAAACCTATTTAAGTGTTGTTTTTTTAAGTATTTATTTATGGAGTGTTGAGAATTTTCCATTTAATTTAAAATATTTCTTTATTGATGATGTGATCAAATGGTATTTGTTAAGATTTATGTTTATCCTTAAATGCATCAGCAAGCAAGGTTTTTTTATAAGAAGCTGATAAAATGTAAATATTGAATTACATTTTTAAAAGTCAGCATTCTGTATCGCTATAATAGAATCCTCTTTTGGTTTTGGTTTTTATTAACTACATTATGCAAGTTTCCAACTTTTGTTTTCTTTTTCAGGTTCATTAAATAGGTAAGGCTAAGGTATATAGCATATTTCTTATCGTTTTACCTGTACTTAAGAACTATCGTAGTGTACTAATGAACTAGAAATACCTACATAGTTTCAATTGCTTAAAGAGTGTTGGATCACTGAATAGTTTATATAATGCTTATAATAGTTTATATTTTTGTTATTTAAAACATTCTAAATAATTTCAAAATAAAAATGTGTTTAAATAATTTTTTTTAAATCAATTTTTTTGTATTTATAATCTTTTTTTTTTAAAAAAATTAATTATTGTTTCAGTTGGAGTACGAAAAAAGTCTAAAAGCCTATCATAACTCTCCTGCTTACTTAGCATATATGGCTGCTAAAGCTCGTGGAAAATCAGGTAAAGACATCAATGTATTAAAGTGAAGAGCAAGATTAACTTAGCTTTGTTAATTTTTGTGACTAACGTTTAATGACTATTTTCTCTATTACTTTATGATATTTTCACCATTTGTTGTCGAATCATGGTATATATTAATTCAGTTCAGTCAATTAGCACAGTCTAATTTCACTAACAAATAATATAAAGAAACTTGATTCAATCATGGTGTTGTGAAGCAGCATATAATAAATAAATTAATGCAAAATTTGTTTCAAATGTAAAGTTTCAAGAACCAAGAACAATTTTGATCAGTTGAATGATTATGAGTTTATTTATTAGATTCAGATTATTTATGTAATAAGTAAATCAAAAGTAATTATTAAGATAATCATTTGAAACTTTCCTGTTTGTGTTTTTTTCTCCTTATAAACCTATGGAATGAGCTCTTTTTAGTTTTATTATTTAGTATATTTCACTCTAAAATATATTTTGTTTAAATATAATAATTATTAAAAAGTTAAATAATTAAACGAAACATTAAATTTATAGAAGGTAAGTCAATGAACGATAATATTTGAGTTTTCATGTACTTTTTTTAGTAACTGAATGATGGAGATCTCCTTTTGCTTCCTCAGTTATTAGGCCGTTTTTTAAAGCCCAATTGTTCTGTGAACAAAATTATTATGCCTGTAGTTATAAAACTGGTCCTGCTGAGTGAGTGGCCAAGTATCATTATAGATACTTTATCCTTGGAACACATATCATGATTAATGTTCAACATGTAGTGCCCTATTTCTCTGAATTATAGTTGCACAATCTTATTCTTTTTTTTGCCTCAACCCCTCATATATTTTAAAGGGTGGTCTTATATTACAGAGACTAAATATTTTTTTTTTTGTTTTCTGCTGTCTTGAACTTATACTTAATATTTTTAAATATGATTGTTTTCTCATTTGTATTATTTATTGTACAGACACTTTATATGTATACATACTTGTATATATTTTTTTGATGATACCATTTTATTAATATTATGAAATATTTTAATTTTTTTTATACAGCTCAACAATCCTCAGATGATAGAGAATCTCATGATCGATCATCAGGAAGTAGTAAACAAGATCGGAGAATTGATATTCAACCAGCTGAAGATGATGATGGTCTGTCTTATTTAAATTCATAATTTTTAACTACTATAATAAGGCTAGCATTAGTATTATAATTAACGTGTATTTTACTTTTTTTTTTTTTAATTTCATGATGGTTCTGTATTTTCCTGTAACTTTAGTAGAAATAGATATTACTCTCTCGCTAACTTTAATTATCTGAAAAAAAATGTAATTGAATTTTTTCCTATCGACATTTTTCTATGATATCTTTTAGGTTTTTCTATGATTGTGTTATATAAGGGTGGTATATTAGGTTATTGGAGGTTTAATTATCAAAAATGTTATTAATATTGAAATTGCACAATCATTTATTAATTAATTTCAATTTTTTTATCATAGGGCTCTGTATTAGGTTACTGGAGGCATATAGTTTTTGTGATTGCACAATATTAAATTTATAATATCTTCTAGAACTGTGCCTTCAAAAAGTTGATAATTGAGCCATTATATCAAGAAATTAAATAAATCATCACTTCATTGCATAATGTTAAAATCGATAGTGTTTCCAAAGATGATGCTTCTGATAACAATAAATGACCCTTATGTCAAAGAGTTGAAAAGTAAAAAATAAATAGTTACAGGATTGCTCAATCTTTAAATTAACAATATTTTGAAAAATTATGCCTCCAGAAACATAATAATGGAGCCTTATATCAAAGAGAACTGAAAAGTAAAAGTAAATAAGCACGCTTGTCCAGTCCTACAATTGATAACATTTCCAATAACTATTCCTTCAATACACATATCAAAGGACTCTTATAGCAAAGAAATCCTAAAAATTGGAATAAATCGGTATGCAATTTGCACAATGCTTTCAAAAACTATTCCTTCTATAAAAAATCAAAATAAATTGTTTGATGATTGCCTGATTTTGAAATATTTGTGATTTTTTGATAGATACACATTTAAAATTACAGTAATGGTGCCTTAAAATGAATGAATCCAAAAAGTTAAAATAAATTCATGTGAAATTTAATTCACTGATTATGTTCTGTGAATAGGTAAAAAAAAATGTTAGTTGTTGTTATTCGGCAACCATGAATAAAACTTATAGTTACAGTCGCCATGACAACCAATTTTCCTAAAACAGTTGCCCTTTCTAACTGGTAACTAATTTATTTGCTTATCAATAAATTACAACTAACGATTTTACTATATTCAAAAGAATTGCAATTAAAATAAAATAGTTGTAGTTTTTATCTGTTAGTTACAACTAATTTTTGCCGAACTCTGGCCTCCTGGGATAGAGAGATTTTATTGAAAAATGGCTCCCAAAACCTATTTAAATGATTTTTTTTTACATTTAATTAGTTGTTGTGTTAACTTCTGCCACGATTGTTATAGTGCCTCTAAGATAAGTTTGCCTGTAGGAAAAGGGAGCTCGCAAAGCCTTTCCCCTCTCAATTTCAACCTCCCTTCCTCACCATAGCAATCACCTCATACTGGAAACGCGTTTTTCGATATTCGATTTTCTTCTAAATTCTAATTTCGTGAATGAAATGAAAAAAAATGGTAAAAAAAAATTTCTACTTTAAAAAAAAATTGTAGAGGTATGTACAAATAAGTATAGAAAAGATAAAAGACTGGAGGATTGGCAGGAAAATATTTTGCCACCTCTCTCCTCCTCTATCCACCTTCCAACATATCTTAGACGGACTCTACTTATGTATAAGATATGTATATGCATGATTTTTATACATGATATAATTAGATATTAATTATTTTACAACTGTTTAAGTATAGTATCATTCCCTGTACCTACATGTATACAAGATACATACAAACAAGTTTATATATATATGCGTGTTTTATAATTATATATAATGTTTTCATAAGTATTTTTTTGAGTTTAGATCAAGATGATGGTTATTCAGTTAAGCATGTTGCATATGCCCGTTACCTAAGGAATCACCGTTTGATTAATGAAATTTTTTCTGACTCAATTGTTCCTGATGTAAGATCTGTAGTGACTACCGCAAGAATGCAGGTTCTTAACCGACAAGTGCAATCATTAACCATGCACCAGGTATAGTTTCTTCTAAACCCTTACAATTGTTTATTATTTAATTTCAGTATTTTATGATTTATTCATTTATGTAAAATGAAGCTATATCATTCTCATTCTTGGTTTATATAAGTATAGACTTCATTAATATCTATTGTGGATTTGGTTATGAAAATAAAAAATAATGTTATTTATATGATTTTCAAACTATATTTTTAAGAATATAAACCTATTTAAGAATATTTTCAGTCCAGTCTCTTGCCAATGTAGATCATTCTGATGATGTCATCTGTCACTTGAGTAATAAACCAATTCCATATTAAGTTTAACTCCATTAATCCATTACCACTGTTATATTGAGCGCACATGTTTTACTTATTTATTTATTAATTGAGTATTGGTACATTCTGCTAGATTGAAGGACATTCATATTAGGGCTACATTAATCATTCACACAATATGTACATATAAATAATAACTAAGATAGAAATAATAAAGACAAAGAAATATTGAAAAAATAAAAAAAGTGAATTAATATGGATATATTAAAAAAAATGAAATAATACATAGAAGGTAAATGAAATTAAAATAAATAAAATACATTCACACCTATATACAATATTTACATTCGCTCAAGAGGTTGCAGGGCCACTGTTGTTTTAACCTCTGGGGAGGATTGTAGGGATGGCTGGAGCTGAATAGGGATTGTGCTTCAGGATTTGGATGATGAGTGAGGTTCTGGTGAAATTTGGAAATATGAAGGTTATTATGGAGGTTTTATTGGTTACATAAAAGGGAGCATCGACTATTGTTCGGAGAACTTTAGACTGGAAGGATTGAATGCGTTAAGATGTTAAATAGTTTTACTGTTTCCCACAGTTGTAGTCCATAGGTCAAGATAGGTTTCAGGATTGTCTTGTAGATTAGTAGTTTGTTGTTGACTGAAAGTTGAGATTTTCTATTCAATGGTCTATATAGCTGCCCCTATCATCTGTTAAGTTGTTGTCTTTAAGTCTGGTATGTGGTGCCATGTTATTATTTTATCTAGAGGAAAGCCAATATACCGGACTGTATCAGAGAGAGGAAGTGGTATTGAGTTAAAGTAGACTGGTTGAACAGGAATTTCGCTGAAGGGTAAAAGTGATATGTTTGGATTTGGATTTATTTACTTGGATATACCACTTATTACACCAGTGTTCAATAAGAGAGAGGTGACTTTGTAGGTTTAAGGATTCTGTTTCAGGATTAGGATTGGAAGATAGGATGGCTGTGTCGTCAGCGAATGTTGCCAAGAGGGTTTCGGGATAAGTAGGAATATCAGCGGTAAATAGAATGTAGAGGACGGGACCTAAGACCCTGCCTTGAGAAACTCCTGCCTCGATTGAATGACAGTTGGAGGATTTTGTACCACAACGAACTTGAAAGGAGCGGTCAGAGAGGTAGAATCGAAGTATTAGATATAAGGACTGGGGTAGATGGGTTTTAAAGTTAAAGAGCACTCCGGTGTGCCATACGCGGTCGAAAGCTTGAGCGATGTCCAGGAATGCTCCCGAGCAATACTTTTTGCTTTCTAGGGCTGAGGATATGTGGTCAACAGTCGGAGTCCTTGTTGGACAGTGAAATGTTGTGAAAAAAAAATCCAAATTGATGGGTATGAAGGTTTTATGATTCTATTATGGGTAGGATTTTTTTTTTTTTTTAAGGATTGGAAGTAGGCTAATTGGTCTATAGGATGATTTATTATTGGAAAGTTTGCCTTGTTTCAGGAAAAGTACAATAGCGGAATATTTCCATAAGAGAGGAAAATGAGTAGTTCTTAGGATGCAGTTGTGTATATATATATATATATATATATATATATTTATATATATTATATATATATATATATTTATATATATTATATATATATATATATATATTATATATATATATATATATATATATATATATATATATATATATATATATATATATATATATATATATATGAGAAACATGATAGTTTTGGGTGGTAATTGATCACCTCACTTGGAAGCCATCACCTCGACGGAGAGAATGGGAAATAATATGGGATTTTAGAATTTTTTTGTTGTTATTCCAGAGGGAATTGTCGTGAGTGGAGAGGGAGGCAAGATAGGAGTTTAAGGATTGGGATTTAGTGTGGACGGGGTGGCCGAACATTCTAATGTGTGTGCACAGCACCACTGTTGCCCGGCAACCTGATCTATGAGACAATGGATTTAAAATAGTCACGAGTTCGCCTCCCTGCGCTAGGGGAGTCTTTTAAATCCCCGCCCACACCCCCTGTTTTGATATGGATTAGGCCGAAGATGTGTTGAGATAATTTATTTTTCTTTAGAAATCGTGGAGAGGGATTAGGGGAGGAAGCAGTCCAGGCTGCTTGTTGAATGGTAGTGGTAAAGGAATGTATGGCATTGTCAAGGTCTTCTGGAGTTTTCAGGATTATTCTGAGATCAATTTGATCGAAAAGGATTTGATGGAAGAGTTTCCAGTTGACTGGGCCTCTGATGAAGGATGGTGGAGAGGGTTTAGGAATAGGAGCTCTAGATACTTGGAATATTAATGGACTGTAGTCTGAGGAAAGTTCTTCAAGGCGTGCAATGGAATAGTTGAGGGGACCTAAACCACTGCGGATGAAGAAATCAAGGATATCGGGATTACGGTTAGGATCAGTGGAACAGTATGTAGGTGAATTCAGCAAAACGAGATTAAACTGCTGGGAATCGAGTGCAGACCGCAGTGTTTGACTGCATGATTATGTGGTTCTTGAACCTCATTGCTGATGCTTGGCATTTAAGTCTGCACACAGGATGAAATGGTGTCCTAAGGAATTGAGGAGGGGACTAAATTGGATATTAGAGATGGATTGGTTAGGAGGGCAATACACTGATGCAAGGGTAATAGGAAAGGAGGAGGTTTTGATTATGATAGCAGTGGGCTGGAGGAAATCTTGAGTAGGTGATGAGAGAGGAATTGGTATACAATGACTGCAATACCAGCATATGCTCTACCGTCAGGATAATCAGTACGTTGAGTACTGTGGTATTTTTAAAATTTGTTTTTTGGTCAGACGAGTTTCCATAATAAGGGCTACAGCAATGTTCTTGTCTATTAATAATGCTGTTAGTTTGTCAGTGTGGTTTCTAACACTATTCGCATTCCAAAGGAGAATGGATAAGGGTTTGATGGGATTCATTTAAGGATTTTTTGAAGGAGGGATGAGGTGAGATACTAAATTTGTAAGGAGAGATATCAGTGAGGTAACAAGAGATTTGAATTCAGTGAGGAAAGATGCCAACAAACTTGTAAGATCTGTGGCTTGTGATGGAGGAGCAATATGAGGAATGTGATGTTGATGAGGGTTCTGTACATTAGGAGGGATAGGGTGTTGAAGTTGGGATTGGGGTTCCTGTTGCGGCAGTGGCTCACATTTGTCAGTCGGGACTCTATCCCCTAGTAACTGAGAAAAAAAACTTTATGAATCTACTATTTTAGCAGGTCCTCTTCTGGGTTTAGCAATTTCTTCTTGGTTCCGGGGTTCACAAATTTTATTTTTGTAGGCCTGGCAGCCCTTATAGTCAGGGTGTGCTTCCAGGCTTAAAGCACTTACTGCAGGAGTAGTTTTTGGTTTCTTGCATTCACCAGTCTTGTGTGCCTCCATATTTCACGTATCTTGGAATGTGGTAGCAGTATGTTTTGGTGTGGTCATATGCCTGGCAATTATGGCACTGGACGATTTCTCTTTTAGAGTATGTTTTTTCAATCTTAACACTTGTATAATATAATCTTTTGATTTCATATATTTTATCGACTCCTACTGTGGGTTCTAAATTTATGAAAAATTTTGGTAATGATATTTTTCTATTTGTCCCAAATACATCTCTGTCGTCCTTCATAACATTGGTGACCTGTGGGACTTTGAAACCTAGTGCCATCAATTCTTCTTTGATCTCCTCGACTGCGGTAGAAGGATGTAAATTTTTTATTACTATCCTCAGGGAACGCTCTTGCCTCAATTAGTAGGTGTGAAAATCTGCCTTTGTGTCTGATAAATATTTAATTATTTGCTGGTATTCATCAACTGTGCCTGGGAATATTTTAATATCGTTAGTGCAGCTTAAGCAAGATTAGCTACCAGGAGTTATAATTTTGTTTAAATGTGTGTGTAGTAAAGGGAAATTTTTTAAATTTTTAACGAAAATTGGAGGGGGTCGAGGTTGAATATCATCTGCTGCTGTTGTTGGAGTCACAGGAGGCATTATTCTATTCGATCGACAGCTTTTTTTTTTGCAGGTGACAAAACATGGTGTAGGTCCGACAGAGCGAGACCTCGTTGTTGCACCTTCAGAAGACTTAAGTTGGTGGTAGTATATCATAACATATCAGAAGAAAATGGAGGAAGAAAATTTTTTTTTAAAAATCAAGGGACATAAGTGAAGACTCCAGCCCAACTGACCAACCTGGATCAGCCAGGTACTTATGGCTGCGAGATAACAGAACAGGCCTCTATAAACCAGCTTCATTTTACACAACTGTACACAATAAATAATAACAGCACTCACTATGGCATTAGTTCATATTATGGTCCAGGTGTTTAGCTCACTCATTGTCCCAATTTTATTTTAAAATAACACCAATTTCCTTGGAAAAAGTGAATTTTGACCACTTTTTTACCTTATCTAAGAGATGAGGTAACAGTGGTATATTATAATCTAACGCATAAGCAGAACTGTGAATGCACAAGTAAGTTTTAAAAGATTTGCAAGAGAAGGACTTTAAAGGGATCAAATCTTACCGAACGATGATCTGGCTACATCCATGTTATGTTAAAGTTAACAAAACAGTTTTAACGCCAAATAAATTAGATTTTGTGTCATCAAAACACTCTTTATGGGAAGCTTTACTTTTAAATTAAGATTGTATCTTTCAAAATGAAATCATTATCAAATTTAATTTTTAATGTTATTTTATCAAGTCTTTATTAAGTTCATTATTTGACCTTAACCAATTATTAAACTATTTATTACATTACTATTTAAATTTTCTGGACATTCAAATGTTTGCTATTAAAATCTGTCAATTTCTTTTTATTTATAGAAAAAACTCGAAGCAGAACTTCAGCAGACTGAGGAAAAATTTGAAGCAAAAAAAAGAAAATTTGCTGAATCCAGTGAAGCTTTCCAGGAAGAACTGAAAAAAGTAGGATTGAGTCATTAAAAATATAATAGTACTGTTCTATGATTATTTTGCCAAGTATTTTATTCATACCTAAATGATTTACTTTTTTTTTCTACTTCCACTTATCTATTGATATATACAGGCTTTGGAAGAGGATGGAAGTATGGAAATAGGTAAAATTTTTTAAAAGTATTATGTATGAAAAAGATTTGCAGAAGAAAACAGTTTTATGTGAGGTTATATAAAAATCAATAGGTTGAGTTTTAGTATTTAGAGAGAGAATAGATGTACGCAAAGTAAAACATTCTTGAATGTAGGGAGATTTTTTGGTTCTAAGCAGTTGGAAAAGAATGACACCAAGCAGGTATTGCTGTAGGAAAGTAGAATAACTCTGTATACCAACAAGAAACATGAGAGTACCTGGGAAACTCAAAGTTGAGTTTCACGAAACAATTTAGAAATGTTAGCCCCCAATTTAGTAGAATAGTCCTCTGTACACCAAACACCCTTAGTTGGCATGGTGGAGAAAGAAGACAGGATATAAGGAGTTGTCAGGTATTTTGAGGAATGGAATCAATGAATCTTAGGAGTTATTTAAGGACAGTTATGGATTTTCTTGTGATCTTCTAATTATGGTTGTCCCAGGTAAGGTGTTGATCAAATGTAATACCCAGGTCAGGTGCAATTTGGCAGTCAGGTCAAAATGAATTATTTATAGTGGAAATTGAAAATGAATGAAAAAGATACTTCTTTTTATTAAAATAAAAGGTAGTAGGTTTTATTAAGATCGTGTTTTGGTTCTTCCCTTTATATATTTTTGTGATATTAATGCTAAAATTCTTTTAAATATGATCTATTGGGTGTAAATCAATACTTTAAATTTATGTTATTGTATTTTATTTTTTCAAGGTAACATATTCTTTATGTGTGATTTTAGTTTTATTAATTTTATTTTTCCTTTATTAAAGCACTGTCAAAGAGCAGTTGATGAAGAAACATATCAAAAGATGGTAGAAAAGCAAACTGAATTATTAAGAAAAGAACGGAATCGTGGCACATTAATGAACACTGAAGAAACACGGAAGGAAGAAGCGTCATCCACCAGTGATGCTGGAAATGGAATTAGAGAAGTAGAGCCTGTTTCAGCAACTTCTTCCTCCGGTGCAGAAGATAGTATGAACAGTAGTGAGGTAGATATTTTCTGAATACTGTATTAGATCAATATTTTTTTTATAATATTCAGTGTCTATTAAGTTATTTATATAGAGCAGGCAGGGTGCTTCTTTGTTTATAGCATTTGATTTTGTCTGTTTTTATTTCAAAGCTACTAATTAATTTGTGGTTAAAGTTTAGAGAAAGTGAAACCATTACAAATTTGAAATGATCCTATGATTTCAGATGATCAAACTATGACTTAAATACTGTTGTTGCAAATAGATTTTTTTTTTCTTTGATTTGCTCTGAAGTATCTGTTGTTTTACCTTCTTTCTATTTTTATTTTTATTTATTTTGTATCTTGGTTTCTTGTTGACTGTGCACACACTAACAAAAGTGCATTGTATGGAAGTTCTATATCCTTCTCACCTTCATATTCTGTGTCACTTCTGGTAAATTTATATTATAATTCTTCATTTTTCTTCCATAATTTTACGCCAGTTTTCATTCATTCAGATGATTTATGTTTCCAATATCTCATTTCTGCTTCTTGGAGACTATTTCTCATCCTTATACATTGTTGCGACTAACATAGGTTATAAGTTTTTATTTAATTTTTTTATTTATATATAGAAAAACATTTTATTTGTATATAGCTGTATCATAAATATTAAGTATACTGATACATCCCAGCGACGAAATCATTGGCTACTTCCAGGTTGCCTCTCATCGATATCACATGACATGAACAAGCAGCAAAAAGATAGTATGGCTGCTGGATACGTAAAAGTAAGGCATATCGTGAGGCCTGGTGACACATTAGCTCTCGTCCCAGCACGGACCTCAATAGAAAACTCAAGGTTTTTCCATCCACTAATGAATGAGTGACGTCCCATCTCTAAATAAATTATTTTCTCCAAGAGAACATCTGTTGAGCTGCATCGCTGCGACATGAAGAACAAATATGATCGGCTAGCTAGAAATAAGTTACTCCATGCGCTACAGACCTGTGTGGTCCTTGGCCGCCTCAATGAGCACTCGCCAGATGACTCTATCTTTCGCGCAGTCGCTCGCCAGTTGCAGGTATCTTTCTTTAATAAGGTAAATCTTTCTTCTTTGCTAGATAGGGTCCAGCTTTCCAATCCATTTGTGAGAACAGGCCTAATGAGGGTCTTACATATGCAGCATTTTGTGTGACGGGAGATGGCAGAGCTTCCAAGGTGTTTGCTGAGTCCAAAATAGCACCTGTTTGCCCTTATTAATCGCTGGTTGATCTCCAGGGATATTCTATTTCCACAGCTTACAATTGCTCCCAGATAGGTAAACTGGTCTACATTGTGGAACGTAAATGGGCCCATAACCACCGGTACTCGTACTGCAGTCTCTGTTTCAGGTCCTTCTTGCATATACATTGTCTTTTCCTGGTTTACACTCAATTCCAAAGCTTCTGCCGCTTCAGCCAACCTTAAAATAAGATCTGGATCATCAACAAATCCCAGTATTTGCATTAATCTGTTAAAGATAGTGTCGGTACTCTGGATCCCTGAGTCAGGTATCACCTTCTCCAGGACCAGGTTAAACAATAGGTAGGCAAGCACATCCTCCTGCCTAATTTATTTGTAAATTTAATTTCAAAAGTTTTTTAAAAATGTTTTTAAGATTTATTTTTATTATTAATAATGTTTATGGGAAAGATCTTTAATTTATTTTATTTTGTTGTTAGCATGTCTTGGTTAATTTATTTCTTTTCAATACATTACTGACTGCTCTTTGGTATTTTATTCATGGCCTTTATAAATTTATATCATTTTAATATTTTTAGCAGTTAATTAATGCCTACATATAAGTTAGGCGGATTCGGTGATTTATTGTTTTGTTTTTTTAACACCCGCCATTGCCACATACAGTACTAGGAAATTTTATTCCTTTTGTGTTTTCCTGATTTTTTTCTGAATTAAATTATTTTTTAGACATCAAAGGAAGTGTGTATGTATGCCTGATATATTTTACACTGTTATTGTCTAGTAAATTTATCATTTTTTGAGGTATACTGATACGTTTTAAGCTGAGATACTTAAATTTGTCTGATTTCACATAGTTTTTAGTTCTTCCAATAAGATAATGTTCAATTACATCAAAATTGCTTGAATTAATTTTAGGTGTTTCCTTTATTGTCTCATGGTATTCTTATCGTTTTATTATTTTTTCTGTAATTATAATTTTTATTTGGTTATATTGCATTTTATCATCATGGTTTATGTTTAGACTAGATGGACTAAATAATAATAATAATAATAATTTTAGTTAATTCATTTTTTTTAGAATGTGGAAAGTGAACGTGCTGAATCATCAATAGTCAAAGATGAATCATCAGCTATGCCTAATGGTTCTGCCGTTGGTAGTGGTTCTTCCAGTGGACAGGCATTAAAAAGTGATATACCGTTGAACAACTCTTCTGTGCCATATACAGTACCTCCTATTTCATCGGGATTTCAAACTCAATATTCCAGTGGCTATTCTAATCAAAGTAATATTGTGATTCAGCAGAACCAAATGCCTCCACCATCTCCATCTCCACAAGCATATTATCCTTCACAACAGTATTCTGGAGTTTCAAGACACCAGTATCCTTATAATCAGCCTCCATTTTCCCAATATGCAAATCCACCTGCTCCTCCTTTGCACTCATATTATCCTGGATATCAGCAATATCCTGGTCATCATATTCAAACACCTCGCCCTCATCATTATAATGTTCCTCCTCAAGAAAATACTGTTCAGGTGAGTGAATTATACATTTGGATTAATTATATCTTTAATATTGATACAATAAAAATTACCATGAATGCTAGATAAATTAGGCTGATATAATTATTAGCACATAAACATCTCTGTTTTTTTTATATTTTACTTGAAGTATTTCAGAAAACAAATGTTCCGCTCAAGGTCAAATATTCATGTTAATATCTTTATTCGTGAAGTTAATGCGTGCTCTTGTAAAAATGATATTGTTTTAATTTTACCAAAAAAAAAAAAATTTGCTCAGGTAAAGAATCATTATCAGCAATTGAAATGGTGCCCTTTTTTTGAAATTGACCTTATTTTATGAAAAAAAAAACTATCTTATGGAAGTTTTCTTATTATTTTATGACTATCAACTGTAACAGTATATTTTGCATTTTAATTTTAAATTAAAAATGAGAAATTTGGTTGCTATTCTTCTTTCAATAATTTACATTAGAATCCCAATATTTTTATCCTTTTAATTTGTATATCCCAGTAATTCCTACAAATTTGCTGGTTCCAAAAAAAAATCCTTTCAATTCATACTAAAACAGTTACAGTGTCTATTAGACATAGAAAAGATGGAAAATTTTAAAACCTGCAAAAGTCAGAATTGTATGGAGAAACATTAAAAGGCAGAGAATTTTACATGGTACATAACGTAAGCGCAAATTCACTGTTAAAATTTAAAATAATTATTAGAATTTTACATTTCTATGCCCAAAAAGTGAGAAGAAAGCTCGGTTTGCGCTAGTTATATGCTTGTCTATTTCTGACCATTGGTCATTCATTGAGGTTTTTGTGGAGCCGAGGAATTTGAATTTTTCTACTCTCGGGAATGGTTTTCCTTCTACGCAGATTCTGTTATTGGGATGGAATTTTCGCCTTATTATCATATATTTTGTTTTGTCTTAATTTACTTATAGACCGATCTGCTCTGCCTCTCTTATTAGAGTCTTAGCGAATTTCTTAAAGTCCTCTTGATTACTTCCAAGGGTAGTTATTCTTTCTTTCAAAGATATTGAACTCCTGAAAAATCGCAAGAAATACCAAATTAAGGGTGTACAATGCTATGATAAAGACAGTTCTAATATATGGCTTTGTGACCTGAACACTAACCATTACCCTAGAAAAAGTATTGAAAGGTTTGAGAGAAAAATCCTCCACACAATAACTGGAGCGATCTGGGATCAGTGTACTAACACATGGAGAAGAAAGACCAATAAAGAACTTCTTACAGGAACTGGTCAATCAATATCCCATGATATGAAGGCATGAAGGTAAAGAAGGGTGGGACGTGTAGCTCATTGCAATCCATCTGGAAGCCTCTATGCAACAATGAGTGTCTCAATCGAAGGTAATAGATCACGTACAAGGCCAAAAAGCAGATGGATAGTTAGAATCAACCATGATGCAACTGAGCTGCTTGCAGATAACTGAAAAGAAATAGCCCAAGACAGGCAGAGATGTAGCAGGCTTGTTAAGGTGGCAAAAGATCTACATAGCCTGTAATGCCAACAGAAAAAACAACAACGTGTTTTTGCTTTGTTATATTAGTTAAAAATCTATTATTACTTATGTTCCATCTGTTTTTTGTATCAAAGAGGTTTTTTTGATATTTTTTTTATCATTGGATAATTTTTGTTCTTTTATTCTATGTAATGAGAAAATCTGTATATTTATATGTATATGTATGTGTGTGTGTATATATATATATATATATATATATATATATATATATATTATATATATATATATATATATATATATATATATATATATATACCACAGCCTGACCTTGCTAACTAGAATATCTCATTAAATTGGTTGGTAGCTTAATTGCAATTTAACACTCTTGTTTGTTTTGTTTTTCGTCTTATTCTTCTAAAATAACATTCTTAATTAGTTCAAGTCTTGCAAGAATAATCAAAATATTACTATATACAATTTAGTTAAAAGGTAAGAAGGTTCTTAAAAAAAATAATTTACTGATGATAATTTAATGTTTTCATTATTTCAGCTATTATTGTGATTTCATCTTCCTTAATTTATTTATTTCCATACTAGATTGGTCCTGCCCTCCTCAAAACCTTCTATGAACAAAAGTTTATCAATAAGTATTAGAAAATCAAAAAGTTACATCTTATAATTGAAGTTACAGATTTAATTATATTATTGTTTCTGTAATCCTAAACTGTGTTGTATCAGTAAGTATTTGAATGTATTTTTGTTATGTTCGAGTTCTTCATCTTCTATTGTTTATTTATATAGCAAACTAAAATGAATGGTAAACAAGTTACTAAACCTACATGTCTGATATTTCTTCTTATTTCGATGCATAATGATTATATATGTTTTAGAGACCAACTGAAGAGGATATGGATCAGTCAAGCATCGATGAAAGTACTGAGGATACTAATAACTTTGCAGAAGTGGATCCTAAAAAACTAAATGAGCGAACACCTGTGGAAAGAGAATGTGGGCTGTCTAAAGAAAAAAGTTTTCAGACAGTGTATCCTTAAAAAGTAGATTGTTCTTATTTGACCATCCTGACATTCAAGCATAGATTAGAATACTGCAGAAGGTAGGCTACAGAAAAAATGTTTTTTCTGTTTTGCAAGTTTGGAACTTACATACCCTGATTGATCATTTTTGAGAAACTTGAAATATATTGTTTTTAAAAAGCTCCACATGTCTAACTAAGATTTGAGAACAATGAATATTATCAAACACCCTGTCCAGCTTTCATAATAATATAAAGGTAAAGGATCTGAAATTGGCTTCTGTTATTTCATACAAATCAAAATTAATTCCATTCGATGAAAAAAATCTTGTTTTCTCATCCTTGCAATTATGTAAATCATATTTAATTTGATAATTTAGGCTTATTCAGCTTCTACAGGATTAAGATCCATACATTTTACCATCCTGATCAATGATACTTGCTATCCTGTTACCTGAAGAGTCATCAAAAAATATTCTTATCAATGCTGAATTTGCTGAGAATTGAATGAACAATTTTAATACCTGATATTCTGTTTATAAAATAAATGTATTGATGTTGACTATTTAATATATTTAAGAAACAAATATGAGTATGAGGGAATTCCCATTCTCCTGATAGCACTTCATAGAATATTTTTGGACATAGTGAAAAATTACATTTTTAGAAAAAAAGAAAATGATGATAATAGCCAACTTATTTGAAACACATCCGTTAAGTGATAGTTGAAATTTAATTTTATTAGATAAAATATTTTGAAGTGAAGCTGTCTACTGTATAAATCAATACTGTTAAATATCACACTCGGAACCAAAGGATAGCAACATCATCTGATACTTTCAAGTTAAAATATCTGGATGACCTCCGTCTTTTCTTCTTTCTTTATTTTATTTTCTTATTTTTTTTACACAAGATATTTGTATTTATTTTTGATTTTTATGATATTCATTTTATCAGTTGTTATCTGCTAAATTATCTCTGCTATAGCGTCTTCTCATCAAATACTGTCCATATTTTCCTGATTCCTATTCAGCATGAATATTGATCTAACTACCTGTCACTTTAGATCCCAGTTCTTATCAGTTCATTGTGATGAATTCATTTAATTAGTTACTTAAAATAGTTAATAGTTGAAATCCTTTATTCGATTTGAATTCTCTCCAGGATGTGTTTTATTCTTCTCAGATTTCTTTTAACACAACTTTTTAAATTATTTAACATGTACCATCGTCTCAATCATGGTAAAACTATTTTTGGTTACCTGAAAGCCAATCTCCTTTATGACTACAATGATATATTCTTCCAAGTAAACCTCTTATTTTCTCTTCATCTTTTCATTGTTCCAGTTTCTCCTATTCAATAGACTTACTTGTGTGACACTTGAATCTACTTGACTCATGTTTGTCTTTTTTACAACTTCCTCAATTTAAGAAGATCTTAATAGGATCTATGAGCAAAGCTAAATATATTATGGTTAAAAGCTTTAAAAACTGGGCATTTTTATGAGTTCCAGTTCCCACCTTAAATCTGATATCTATTTACTTAAACCGGAATGATATTCCTATCACTTTATGCTGCCTTATTAAAACTTAGGCCTTGCTAACTTCCAAATATCTCCATAATCACCTATCTCTCAAAACTCCTGACTGAATAAGCACTGTTATGCTCAGTCCTTAGTCCATTCTTAGCCCACAAGTCTCTGTTGTTCTGACCTTCATTTCTCAACCCTATTGAACTACAACTTTCAAATATTTCTTTATATCTTGGTCCACTACCCTCTGAACTTCCTTTCCTCTTAATAACCAACAAGCTTCTTCCCAATGCACATTTAAAGTTCTCTTTCTTATCACCTGATCCTCCGCTCCCTCAGTCCTGATAGACGCTCACTAACTAGTGAATTTTTGTAATGGATTTAGTTTTACTTTTATTTATATTATACTAATTGTTCTTTAATGATTAAGTTTTTATTTCATGGAAGATTTTTTTAATTTTGTTTAATAACGATTTTGTTTTTTATTGGATTTATTTTTTATTTTGTTTTATATAATTAATTTTTTGTTTAATGATTAATTTATTTTTCTTACCTAATGTATATTTATGTATATATTATGTTCTGTACATTAATGTTGTTTATAGGAGATATTGTCCCATAATAAAGTTTTTTATATTTTGTTTTTTCTACTTTATATTGTATTGTGTATTGGAAATAATAACATTATATAGGACTACTGCCACTTCAGTCAATGTTTAACCTTTTCCAGATATTAAAGTCAAGTTATTTGATCTTCTATGAATGTATTAGTGCAGTAGAAATATGTGGTTCTATCATATTTCACTTCTTTATATTTTAACTATTACCTATCTTATACAACAAAAATGTTGATATACATCCTGTTTTATCAAAATTTAGTTGAATTTTTTGTTAGTTTATAGACTTTATAAACACAAAGAATTTATAAATTCATGACGATTGGTTAATTTCAAGCCAAATCCATCAAACACTACCCTCTGACTAATGTTATTCATTATAATGATTAGTGGATCAAAGAAACATCTGTCAAATCACAGTCCTCACCCTGTGAATGACAATAATTTGAAAACTGTCTGCTAGTCGGGATTGGTGTCTCCTGCTGAAGAAACTATTGTTATACCCTCGATGCCTTTGATTTTTACAGTATTAATGGCTACCTTGCTACCCTCTCCCCTGACTACATGACACCTGGTTAGGGAGGGTTCCAGAGTGCTCAGTTGGGAATGTTATAGATTTGATTCCCACCTAGGTGAATTAATATTTATCTCTTGGCGGTCCCGAGAAATGAATCTTGACTTTCTTTTTTATATTAATATGGGGTGGCAACCACTAGGTAATCAGTATTTAGCAGAATGATCCAAAAAACCTATTTCTTGGACTACCTCCCGCCACCAGTACCAATACTAATGCCCTTGACCGTTCATATATATAAAAAAACACATTTTTATTAAATTTAACATCTTTATTAGATATTAAAGTAAAACCTTGGTAATTGTTATTAAAAATAATATGTTTCTGTTTATTTATATGTATCAATGCTTTTTTATTTTGCAGCGTGCTGTGCCGCCTACATTTAGATGGAAATGGAGATAATAGTTCAGGTATGTCCATTTTAATGGATAAGTGTAGATGTTCAATATTTACTATTACTACCAACCCATTTTTTTTTTTTCTGTTTACAGAATTGTATTTAATTTCAATAATAAAATTATTTTATTTCATACATTGACATAGAATTATTATTAGTAGAAACTAAATTATAAAGCTGATATTTGTTGAAAATTTAGATTTCATCAAACAAACTGTGTTATTTTTTACTCCCAAAGATGTGCGAATTATGAATTTTTAAAACTTTCTTGATAACAAAAATTCAGGTTTTTGTGAATTATGAATAGTTAAAGTAAAATATGGAAGAAATTATTAAAGCTAGAGAAGGTATTACTTCTCATTTAATGTTATTATTTGATCATAAAATTTATTTTGTTCAAAAGGAAAGCTTAATTTTTTTTCTAAAAAAAATTCATGTTCTAAAAGGTTAATAAATTAAAAACAATGAATACAGTTTTTACTTTTGATTTATCATTTTTGTAGATGAAAAACAAATTTAAAGAACACATTATTCTTCCATGAATCATAATTTGTCTGGAACCTGAATTTAAAATACAATATAAATATACATGGGGTTTCAGATTCATTGAATCTATGATTTGATTTACAAATTTCATAGTGACAGATATAGTTAGATACTCTGACACTACATCATTTTCTGAAAAAAATGACAATGACCATAATTTCGCTTCTTTTTTTGAACAGATGGTACCGCTCAATCTCAATCTAGCATCAGTAATTGGAAAATGTTACTTCAGAAATGGTCGTACAAACCCCAATGTGAACTATATGTTGATATATTAGGTGTTGACTAGAGATGGGAAATTCAATTCTTTTATCTGAATTGATTCACTATGATTCAATCTTTGTAATGAATCAATTCTTATGGACGATTCTTCGATTGATTCTTTTCATCTTCTTAAAATTAGAAAAGAATTTGTTATTGACAAAAAAAAAAAACAGTAACATAACTTATGGTTATTCAGGCAAAAACATTTTTTTTTTTTTAGCTTATTGAAATAAAAAGTCATGAATCTTATAAATATAAAGGCTGTTTAAATTGGACAGAATTTTTTTTTTTTTAATTTTACACATTACATGTTGGCCTTTGTAAATGAAATGAAATAGAATTTCATTATTCTGGGACCGATGACCTACCCTCTAGAACATATTATAAATACAAAATAAATAAAACATGACAATATGGCCATACATTTATATTTATATAATAATAGGCAATTAAAAATAAAATACAAGAGAAAAAAAACTACATATGTATAAATTAAATAAACAAAGAGAAAAAATAAATAAGAACAAAATAGTAATGTAAATAAGTTTAGGTTATAAATGTATGAATACGAAATGCTAATGGAAAAGTAGACTGAAAGTAAACATAACAACAAACAAACAATGGAACACGACTGGAAGATTTCCTAGAACAAAAACGGTGAATCGACTGATCTCTTGTGAATCGACTGGATTGATTCACAGTGTTTGTTCTAGGAAATCTTCCAACCTTATTGTATTGTTTGCTGAGTTGTTTTCTTTCCAAATCTACTCTGTTACTAGCATTTCACCCTTCAGATATTTATTACCAAAGCTTATTTATATCACTGTTTTGTTTATTTTTTTTCTCTGTTTGTTTTATGTGTGAACAGTTTTTTTCTCTCTTGTACTTTTATTTTTAATTACCTATTATTATGTTGATAATTTAACATTTCAATTTTGTTTATGTATTATTTTTTTCTCTCTGTTTGGTTTATTTATAAATGTACACAGTTTTTTTTCTCTTTTGTACTTTTATTTGTAATAATACCTACTGAATCGACCAATTCTGAGTGAATCATGATTCTCTTGTGTGAATTTCTTGAAAAATCGATTCCTGCAGAGAAATCGACTCCTTGATTCAATTCTCGATTAACCTGTCCATTTCTAGTGGTGACTATTTCATTGAATCTAGTCATGACTATAGGATTTACCATTTCAAATTTCCAAAATCTAATTCCAAAAATTTGACTAGTTATTATATGGATCAGCATTAAAATTAAAGCAAATCCTTATCATCTAATCAATTACTTCATTTTTGTTAACTAGTTCTAATTTATATTTGGAACTATTTTAGGCCTCCTAAGCTGAATTTTCAAAAAGGCGAGGTTGTTTTTGAAACTTGGCATTCTAAGGCCAGGGTGTAGACCTAAAACATATTTTCTGGAACATAAGTCGAGACAGGAATAGGTGTCAAATTTTACAAAGAAATTTCCCATTTATTTATTTATTTCCTTTATACATTTGACTAATATATATATGTATATATTTTTTTTCCAGTTTGAATTATACTGAACATACCTCAAAATGATGACAACTAAGCAGTATTTTGGTGGTGCTAAGATGCAGTGTTTCATATTATGATATTTTCATAAATTTATTTGTATAAAATATTTATAAATTTATGTTAAATTAGTGTATTTTTTTTTTTTTTTTGCTTTTAGACTGAAATGGGGAAGTTAATTAATTTTTTAATTAGTATAATTTTTTAACTAATATAATATGAGATCTCTCATCAATTATTTTTTCTTTTTAGATTCTAAAAACTGTATATGTTTATATTATCCTGCTTATAATAATTTGTTCCTTTACTTGCATAGGTTTTTTTTACAATTGAGTCCTATTATCTGTTTTATATTAAAATAAACCTTTTCTCAATATGAAAGAATGGATGAGTTCATTCTTTTTTAAATTAAATATGGATCACTAATATGAACAATAGAATGAATCCTTATTCCTTATTTCAGTGAAATTGTAATTAGTATAATGATACTCTATTAACACACTTGTTGATTATAAAAATGAAAAATTATCATTAATTTAATGAAAGATATATTTTGTGTATTTCAATTGATAGTTATAGGAAATAAAAAAAAGTTTAACTTCCCTTTTCATTCATTACAATGTGAAAAGTTATATCAGATTTTATGTTGAGAAAATACTTTGTGTAAGGACTCTCAGGTATTTAAAGTAGTGTGTTTCCTTTCCCTATATTAATGTTATATTTTGTTTTGTATAAATATATTTTGTTTTTATTTTATAGATCTCAAAATATGTTATGTTTCAATGTTGCATGATAAAATTTTAATTATTTTATATTATCAAAATGCTTGAACCATTCTGAAAAAAAAACATTGTAAAAATTTTAATGGCTTATAGCCATAATAAAATTGTGATCTGTAATTTCTAGTCAGAATTTTAACAGTTATTAATTAAGAATTTTGCAGACATTGGTATTGACTTCAGTTTGAATCTTTTTGTATGGTGAATAAAAAGGAACTTAAAAGGTTAATTTCGCATTTCAGTTTATCTGTTGTTAATCTATGTTGACCAACTTAGTTTAGTTATGTATAATTAATAAAATAGAAAAACAATTTGTTTTTTAATGAATCATAATTTAATATTGAGAATTTTTATAACAGCTTATATTAGCATAAATATTACAAGTTTGAACAAGAACTATTCAGCATATATTTTTTAACCAAGGACTGATTTTTAGTTTTATTAGTGCCATGTAAAGTTTATCATGAGATTTTATATTTAGAATTAAAAGACTGTAATCTTTTTTCTTTGTGTTTAGATAAAGATAAGTGAAAAACTAGAAATCACTTGAATAAAAAGAAGTTTGTTTTGTTATAATTGTTTCATTATGATGCTCAGTTAATATTTTAATATTTGTAAATGAATATTACTCAATTTGTTGTGTGATGTGAATAGAAGATGTTCAACTCTGTAATTATATAAATTAATAAAGAAATAAATGAATTAATGTTTCTTTAATTTTATATTTATTTTAAGTACTCCTCTTGGAAATGAAACTAAAAGTTTATTGAGGAAGGAGATGGTCCGGGGTTGGGGTCATAAAAAGGCTAAATAGTGGTAAAACTATTTTATTGAAAGCCAACGTTTCGACCCGACTTTGCAGGTCTTCATCAGGGCTAGAACGGACAAGATACAAAAAGATAGAGAATTGTGGCAATTATATAATATTTAGACATAATTTATAAACAATGTGAATAAGCTTATTAGAATTATAAACAGTAAGTACAATAAAATATGGACTAAGTAAGCTGAGTAACAAGATCCTAAAATAAAGTAAACAGATGCTAGCAATTGTTGTAGTGTAATATATAACAAATGAAAATGTGAGTATAATTCTACAAAATCTACAGGAGAAAAAAATAAGATTAGAGACTTACAGGTGTGTTCCTCTAGGAGTTTCACTTAGAACTGGAAAGGCAGCGGTAAGGATTGCAGGTATAGGGGGAGTTAACATGTGTTAACTAAGTAAAGATTGAAAAACCCAGGAATGTACAGTACCTAGGAATGTTTGAAGATATGGATGGATACAATGGAAAAATACTATATCTATGAAATATTAAATTATAAATATATAAGTATACATATAAAATAGAGTTGAGAGATGTGAGAGGTATTTCATGATTCTAGATCAGAGTACAATGTGAATAAACCCAAAATTGGTAAAAAGTAAAATGTAAATATAGAAATAACTTCATTAACATACATTGCAGAGCTAACTTAAAAGTATATAGAGGGAAAAAAACAATAATAAAAAAATAGGGTGGTCATACATTGGTGTAGAGTGTAAATGTAAATTTAGAATAAAATAGAAGAGAGATCGTACAAAGAAGGAATATTTAGAATAATGAACAATTAAATGAATTAATTAATAAAAATTGAGAGTAGATGAAAATAATAGAATATAATATTTAAGTTATTTTTCCCTTATAAGACTTAAAATGTGTCTATATGTAAGAGAAATACAGTTTTTGTCTACTTTGTGATTAACGGGATTGTGTTCCATGTGAATGTGGATAGATTCGGAAATGAGTCTTTTTTCATGGTTAGGGACCGTGGAAAGGATAGAGGTTTTTTCAAAATCAAATGAGTGGTTGAGTGTTAAAGCATGTTCTGATAGTTTGGAGGCGGAAGGATTCCGGGAAGTTATGGACGTTTTATGTTGGGAAATGCGGGTTTTGAGATAGTTTTTGGTTTCACCAATATAGGAGCTATTGCAATTAGGAGTAGAGCAAGGTATCCGGTAAACTACATTGGATCGGTGTTGTAAGAGTATGGGATCCTTCAAGTTGGTGAAAAGGGAAGAAAGTTTGTTATGGGACTTAAGGCCAAGGCGTAAGTTGGTTATAGTCGATTTTAGGAATTTTTGTATATTGTCTGAGAGGATAGGGATATAGGGGAGAGATTTGTATATGAAAGGAGTGGTAGATGATTGTGGGGAGTTGGGAGAATGGGAGGCTGTATTGTTTTTGGTTGTATAGCAATTTAAAAGTTTATGTATGGTGTTCAGAGGAAAATTGTTAGAGAGCAGTATATTTTTGACACGCTGAGTGTTGGCTTGATGGTATTGTGGATCGGATAAGGAGAGGGATCGGTGAATACAGTTTTTGGCGGTATTGATTTTTTGGTGATATGGGTGTATGGAGTAATAGTTGAGTAGTCTGCCTGAGTATGTGGGTTTAGTGTACCAGTCAGTAGAGACAGAACCGTCAATGTTTTTCATTATTAGGAGGTCTAAGAAGGGGAGCGAATTGTTTTCTTCTTTCTCTATGGTGAAACGGAGACGGGGGTGATAGGAGTTGAATAAGGAAAGAATTTGGGGGATGCTGTCAGGGTTAATAACAAGGAGGAGGTCATCAACATATTTTTTTATGAAAATGATGTCTTGATGAAAAGAAGGGATAACAGAGTCAAGAAGGTCATTGAGAACAATATTGGAAGTATCTGGTGCTAAGGAATTTCCCATGGCTAGGCCAGAAATCTCCGTAGAGACCTGTGTCCGTTCTAGCCCTGATGAAGACCTGCAAAGTCGGGTCGAAACGTTGGCTTTCAATAAAATAGTTTTACCACTATTTAGCCTTTTTATGACCGCAACCCCGGACCATCTCCTTCCTTTATAATGCAACGGTCAACTATTAAATATTCAATATGACTCAAAAACGACGGGGCCAACAACGGCCAGATACATACTCAGCACCACTTTGCCGCAGTTCCAGACTCCAAAGTAACATCAGATCCTCACCGCAGACTTTACCCCAACATCACCTCATCTCAGATTCTCCACAGATAGCTTCACATCACTCGCCTACTCCGTCTTCATCACCTTCATCTCCTTATATCCCAAATACGAGGCATCACACCGACTTCACTGAACCCAGCTGTCCAGGTATCTTTAACCTTCTAAAAACAAAATTCCACCCATATAGATCGAAGTTTAATAATTTTTGCAACCTCCACAAACAGCTCACTATAAAAACTGAACAACGTATTTTTCTCTTAAAATGTCGATCTAACAAAATCTTCCCCAAATGTATAGAGTACCGATTAATTAATTTCCACGTTGCCCCCTCATTAAAATTTAATTTACGAAAATCTTTATTTAATTTCAAAAAAAGTCTATTAAATTTAAAAATAAGAGAGATTATACAGGAATTAGATTCTCTTAACTTAAAAATTTCCTCCCTCACCACATTTCTCACATCGGTTATAGGTGAAGAAAATATCATTAAACTAAAGTACAAAATTTCGCAAATTTTCTCCTCTATCAAAAGCACTAAAAAGCAGTCTCTCCAACATAAATTCAATCAAATATATCAACTTTCTCTGAAAAATAAAATTTACCCTAAAGGTTGTGAAAAATGGCTCAACAATATTTCCTCTACCGATATACCCCCACAGGTAGTTAATATTTTAAGTTTAGGTCCCAATTTTTCTTCCCCCTCTTCCAAATGCCGCCATCTCATTCCTAGCCTAATAACAGATCTAGAAGGCATCTATAGAGATAACCGTTTCGGTGCTAATGAAGAAGAGAAAGAATTATCCCGCATTCGAATCAGTAATATGATTTCTAACCACCTCCAACACTCTCCATCCCGTTCTTCCACTTTATCCCCTGAGTTTTTTAAAGATGTATCCTTAACTCGCTCTTTCCTGAAAACAAACGACCACCTCATTATTACTAAGGCTGACAAGGGAAATTCGACCGTTATTATGGACAAGACAGAATACACACAGAAAATAAACCAACTACTTTCAGACCAAACAACTTACGCACCCTCCCCCCGAGACCCAACCCGTACACTAAAGCTAAAATTTAACCACCACATTAAAAACTTACTAGAGACTAAACAAATTAACCGTCCCACTTACTACAACCTTATATCCTACAACTCCCTAGCACCCCACTTATATGGACTCCTAAAAACTCACAAACCTGGAAATCCCCTCCGCCCTATCATCTCCAATATTAACGCCCCCTCAGCTAAACTCAGCAAATTTCTTTTACACTCTCTCCAAAAACTTAGTCACAATAATCCTTACGACATTCATAATTCATTCCATCTTAAAGAAGAGTTATCTTCGCTCCATATTCCTGATAACTTTATCCTGGTTTCCCTAGACGCCGAAAGTCTTTTTACCAACATCCCAATAGACAAAGCCCTAGACATTGTAGAAAAAAACTGGACAATCATTGAACCTCACACCACCCTTAACCTTTCCTCATATCTTGAATCCCTTGAGCTTTGTTGCAGATCCGGTTTCCTCAGCTTCCAAGGAAAATTCTTTCATCAGATTTCTGGCCTAGCCATGGGAAATTCCTTAGCACCAGATACTTCCAATATTGTTCTCAATGACCTTCTTGACTCTGTTATCCCTTCTTTTCATCAAGACATCATTTTCATAAAAAAAATATGTTGATGACCGCCTCCTTGTTATTAACCCTGACAGCATCCCCCAAATTCTTTCCTTATTCAACTCCTATCACCCCCGTCTCCGTTTCACCATAGAGAAAGAAGAAAACAATTCGCTCCCCTTC